TTTTTTTTTTTTTTTTTTTTTTTGACAAGTTAGACATCTCAACATAAGATACCTTTGAAGGAACTGAATCCTTGCTAATCTTAAAATGTTGAAGAATTTTGGGGGTTTTTGGTTAATATTTTGTAAATATTATTTGACTGAACACGCACCATGCTTTCTAGTAACATGCTTAGTGTAATTTTGATTTTAAATTTTAGAAATAAATATCTTAGAATTTTCCAGTTGGAAATCTTAAGTTTCAGCTGGTGTTCAGAGCTTTACCTTTGCTTAATGTGACGTCCTGGAGCTAGAGTCTCATCCAGTGGGACGTGGACTTGAAGATTCACTCTCAGTTGGGGGGCATCAGGGCCATTAAGCTGCTTTGTAATGTACAGATGATTGCTGCCGTGGCACACCCTGTCTGTGTCCCCCTGGCTCTTCTATTGTCAGTCTTTTGTCTCTCCACCGGCTCGGCAGCAGATAAAATGGCTGTGAGAGTCAAGTAGTCCTCACACATGGAAATGTTACTTCCAGCAGCTAAACGGGGGGGCAGCCTCCTCCTCTTCCTCATACAAAAACACACACTCAAGCTGCTTGGTGACTTTTTCTGTGGGAAGAAGACGGGCTGGATGATCTCTGATCCCATCCTGTCCCTTGAGGAGACAACTACATTTGAACCAACTTGTTAACATGAAATTCCACCAGCAAACAGGAACTCATTTGCACTCTCTTGACATTTCGACCAGCGGTTTTTCTCATGACCCAGCGCTATATTTGCTTTCTATATAAACCCTCCGAGACAATGGCTAGAAATAAACAAAAGACTAAAAACTAACCTTAGATTTGTCTTAAACCTGCCTATCGCCTGCTTGCATTGGAAGAAGGGTAGAAATACAGACTTCTAAATATATTTATACTTTTTCACAGCAGCACACTTGCATTCAGATTCAACAGACTGGGTAGCGTACCCTTGAATTTGCAAAGCAGCTGAATAAAAAACTCTGTCAACTCTGGGTTAAAAAGTCAGCACTGATTTAGATAGCTTGTGGTTGTAAAGAATGTGCAGCACTTCACCTGCTATTCTTAAGATATGAAGTTGTAATTTTAGCGCTTTTTTTTTTTTTACTTTCACACATTAGGTTTCTAAAGTTTTATTTGGGAAAAATATATATCAGATTTCAACAATGGTAGATTCGTGATTTGGAACTGCAAAGCGAGAGAAGTTTGTTTTCTTAGATTCCTCTGAAGGTGACGAGGAGCAGCTCAAAGTTTCCTGTGTTTATGTGTTCAGCTGTTGGAGCAAAGAGTCAACTGGAGAGCACCGGCAACAAGCTATTGGTATTTATTCAGGGAATACTGAAATTCCAATGGAATAACAGCATATTAAGTAAGTTGATTATTTCAGATTGAGACACCTTTGACCATGTAGCTGGTTACCAATGTTTGTATATCTTATTCTTGACAAATTTCTCAGAAGCGTATTTTATTTTATTATTATTTTAGGGAATTTTCTCTCTTTAGCCATCATAAACGGTGGACTGACAATTTAACTCAACACATGGGTAAAGTTAGCTTTGCTATATGGTCGAAGAAAACTTTTTTGCTGTCTACTGTCTCTTCATAAGAGTTTTGAAAGCAAAACATCTGAAATTAGTGGTAGCTTAGAACCAGCACCAAATAAAAAAATAATTCATAAAAATCTTCACCCTTTCCGCTAATAGTATTGTTTATTATAGTCATAGGCTGCAAGGTGGATTTCATGCTTTGTTGCTATCTCTGCTGCTGGTTTATATTTACATACTGGCAAAACATGAGGTCACTTTTAAATAAACTGGCTCCAGGTGTAAGCAGCAGGTTGAGCTTTCATCTAGAAACTCAAGGTAATCTGATGCATATTTTACTGCAAATTTACTGAAAGACCATTGCTTATTGATAAATCTTGGATGTGACTTTGTTTCCACAGCAACATGTAAAATGCCGTTGGGTCAGGGATTAGGGATTCCGTGGTTTCTGACTTTTTGCGGCTCAGGAAGAAAATGTGCGAAAACCAACACCTATCTCGCACTGTAAGGCACACACTCACATTTACAGTCTTTCATGGGTAATTAGGTGCATGTGTGTGACAGAAGTGAGCCGGGTGTCTGGTGAGCTGGACCCACGGCAACAACAGTGTCAAACATTTGCTGCTTTCAGCGTCACAGTTGATGTTTCTTGACCTTTTGTGACTGTTCATATGCACAAAGCAGTTTCTACCTGATCTTTTTTCGTTTTTTGCCCAAAGCTGATTTTTACACGTTTTGTTCCCGAATGGTCTAAAGTTTCAGCTTTGCACTGGCATGAAACGAGATTGAAACTGAAGACACTTGTAGCTCAGTGTAGATATTACTAACAGTCTGTGTCATGCTTTTTAGTGAGTAAGCTCCTTGTTTGATGTGTAAACAAATTGTCAATGTTGGCAACCGTCCACAGGCACTTGGAAAACAAACCTCAGGCAAAAATCAAATTACACACTAAAATCATGATGATGCGCACATCTCGTTTGTAGCTGAGCTGATTCACTCAATAAAACGGAGCCCACTTCATGCAACCAAATAGCCCCTCCAATGTTTATAATTCATCTAATTTTCTGAATGAATATCAGACACATCTCATAAAAACACAATTCCCTCAGACTTAAGGACATAGCTAGTAACACATTTGTTAATCTATTTCTTTGAAATAGATTAACAAATGTCAGTTTTATGAAAACATAAAGGCAAATAAAAAAAGCAGAAACTGGAGCTTTGATTAAATTATGGACATAACTTGTGCTGTATTTTATTTAGAGGGTCTGATTTTCATTAAAAGCTGCTGAATACTGGTCACAGTTTACATTTGGGTCATGGTTAGTCATCTTTTGGTTTATTTATTTATTTTTTTTATTTATGTCTCCTTAATTGCCTCACCAACCAAGCTCCAACCCTATTTGCAATTGGTGTTTTAAAATCAAAATTTAAAACACCAATTTTCAATAAAAAAGTTTAGGGAATGCAGGTCTGTGTTTTAATTAAATGCTTTACATCCAAAGTCATTTTTGCCTTTATTTTCTTTGCAGTAGCCATTTAAGTCTAACCTGGACGTTGCTTTTCTACACAATTACAGTCGATTCTCATCTGACTCAGTGCTCTGTCTGTGGTTTCTTCCACTGAGCTTGATTTCTCTGGTAAAATTTAAACCGGGCCAAACAGTGAACAGGAGAAGTTATGAACAATGACGTAGATTTTCTGCACTCTTTAGGGATTGTAGTCTAACTTAAGTTTGGCAATGGCAGCAGGGAAAGTGAACAAAGTGTTGGCCATGCTTCCAAGGCCTGTTGCTCATAGTTTTGCCTTTGTAGTTATATGTTTTCTATCAAAACCACTAGCAGAAACACTTATTTATTTAATGTCACAGAATCACATCCTACAAACACTCTCCCTGTCAGTCACTCCAGAGGAGACCTAGCACATCCAGTAAATACAAGTCTTCACTCTTCATGTGGATACACCTGTTTGCATTTGGGTTCTGCCTTTAAGTAAAAAAAAAAAAAAACTTCCTGTAATCTTCCTGGCAATATGTGCATTTGTTTCAAAATCAAGAATGTGACATTTTGAAAAATAAAGCTTAACCTCCACAACCAAAAAAACTCCTACAGCCCACATATCTAAGACGATTTACTGCCAAGAAAGAAAGGAGTGTGAAAATGAAGTACAGGAAGAAAGAGCTTGTATCATTCAGAGTCTGGCTTAGATGTTGCAGTCTCAACATAAGGTGAGGAAGTCAACTCGTGGGTAAAAACATTTTCATTCAGCAGCATGGACTGCTTCCATCTGAGAGACCACGAGGTCAGACAGAGTCTGAAATTTACTGTAAATAAAACCTTGTCACATAAAGGCCTGAGCTCATCAAATGCAGTCATAACAAAAAATGACGGTCTTAATTGGCTGGAGAGACCTGATTGTACTGCAGCAGATTTAATTGTTCCTATGAGGTTATCACAATAGAAAAAATGGAAACGGTGAGAAATAAAGAACACTGTAATGCATAAGTCATTTTATTTCAAAACTAAAGTTCAAAAGCTGCCTCAAAAATACAAGTAAACACAATGTTGAGATACGAGTTACGGGTTAAAATGTGGAAACAAGAATGGGTCAATTACACTCACAAAGGCATTTCGTTAATTTTAGGCAGGAGACTAAAACAAGACAAACGTAAACTCTACTAAAACAAACTCAAATGAATACTTACTTTTTGTTTTTTAATCTTCAGACATGTTTTTCTCTTTTTCAATTATATAGTACTTTGCAGTTTTATCTGCAGTTACAAAAAGTTGTTAAAGCCAGTTAAAATACACCAATAAAGGCTTCAGAAAGTTCAAGTTATATAGAGAAAAAACTGAAAGTTCTGTAAGACCTTTCAGTGGGGAACTCTGTTCACTCGGGAGGAAGTAGCGCAGATATTGAATCACACTCTTCTTCAGAATACCAATGTTTGCGTAGTTACAATCTCAAATGCCTGCTTGAATGTAGTGTTTCTTTAAATAAGTCATTTTTCAAGTTACTTTTACTTTATTTTCTTGATTTGTTGATGACAGTGAGTCTCACTTTCATTCTTCCTGACTCCTTCTCTTTCAGATTGATGTTGTCCGGCAGAGACATGGTGATCCTGAGGTGGGAGCTACGGTCCCTCCTGGCCATCATCCTGATGGTCTCCTGCAATGCTGTGCCTACTGAAATTCTATATCGGGTTAATGAGGAACAGCCACCCAACACGTTGATTGGCAGCCTGGCGGCAGACCAAGGCCTTCCGGACACTGGACATCTGTACAAGCTGGAGGTTGGCACCACTTACCTGAGGGTGGACGGCAAAACTGGGGACATCTACACCACAGAGATTCCTATTGACCGTGAGACACTGAGTGACTGCCAAAACCAGCTTGACGAAAAATGCTACCTGGAATTTGAGGTGTCCATCACAGACATGGTGAAAGGGATTGGCTCAGGGCCGCGGCTGATCGAAGGTCGCATTGAAGTGCTGGATATGAATGACAACACGCCGCAGTTCTCTTCACCCATCCTCTCCCTAGCAATTCCAGAAAATACACACATCGGTGCACTCTTCTCCATCCCAATGGCCACAGACAAGGACTCTGGTTCCAACGGTGTGGCTGAGTACTCTCTGAGTTCTGGACTTGATGCTGACCAACTCTTCAGCCTGCAGGTCGCTTTGGACACGGACGAGAAGCAGCCACAGCTGGTTGTCATGGGTAACCTGGATCGTGAGAAGAAAGACTCGTACGATCTGAATATTCGGGTTGTAGATGGAGGGGATCCACCAAGGGCGAGCAGTGCTTTGCTGCGAGTCACCGTGACCGATCAGAATGACAACGCTCCGAAATTTGAGAGAAATCACTACGAGGCCGAACTGCCAGAGAACAGCCCAGTGGGACACTCCGTTTTACAGGTCAGTAAATTAACTATAGATTAGATGCTTTCATGCTGTCGAACTGTAGCAACTGCAAAATATTACGTAGTATGTTTTCCAACTTTTTTTTTGTTTACCGACTTCTGGTGTAAAATATATTTATATCTGTTGGTACATACAAAATCATATACTCTGGGAATTTTCTTTTAGGTTTGAAAAGTTCTAATGGAGAATATTCATCCATTTAGTAATTAGATGTGCGTCACAGTAAATAGATTCATTAGATGAAAATGTTTCTTTCAGCTAATTTTGATAGCTATGGCTTAAAACGCAAAATTAAGATTCTGACAATATTTTTAAATAATAATTCAAAAGACATTACTAATAGTCTGTGTCATACTGACTGTTAATATCTAAAAAATATATATTTTGAAGGATTTTTGTTTCTAGATTTGTTCACTTTGTGGATATAAGAGAGAGAAAACAAGAATATATTTATTCAAGACACGATAACACTGTCTTGGAGTTCCCAAACAGTTCAAAGCTTGAAATATTCAAGACACCACACTGTCTCAGACACCTCCCCCATATATCATATTTTTATATGGTGTTAATAATAAATCATGGCCCTGATGTCTGTTGGTGTAAATATTGATACTCTAAGATCAGCTGGGATTTCCACTCCAGGTCAGTGGTTCAGATAATTAGTTAAAAAGGTTTTCTCTTCATCATCATAACAGTGTCAGAACTGCGGGACAAAGTAATTAAGAAGATAGCTGTGGTGTATGAAACAGGAATTAATTTAAAAGAAAAAGGACAACAAAAAGACACATCGCCAATATTAGACCAAACTTTTGAAGACTTTTTTTTTTATACTAAGTGAAGTTGTGCCCATACATTGCTGCTGTTGCTCAGGCGTCAAGAGTTTCCATGTCACCAAACATTCCAGTTAAACCTTTGGCCTTGTTGGTGATAAAGTCTGAAAGCTGCAGGACAACTCGGCACACTGACTGCACATAATATGCTGCTCAATTATCCGTACAGACAGATGGTCCAGTGGAGGTGAAGCAGGGCGTGGGATCGCTGTGTGCAGTCACATATTAACCACCGATTCAACTTCACCTTTGAGCCCTGAGCCGGGCTCAAAGGTCCTCGATGTTGGCATCAGCTGGCAGAATAGGAAGCCGCTGTTCGGTTGGGCAACTCCACAACAACCTGACAAACCCAGCTCACCGTGTCGTCCTACGCGCTCCCCGTTTCCCCGCTTCTCTGTGACTGCAGCACGGGCCGACCAGCCAGCCTTCCAGCTCGATGTGCATGACTTAATCTGAGTCAGTCATGAGATTATCCACGGGGCTTATTGGTATTATTGCTCTGGATGTGGCTCATTGCATTTCAGAGAGCCCCAGAACTCATTTCACTTAGCGTGCATTTGAGAAGTGATGCTGTATAGAGGCAATGGGACAATGATGACAGACGACCCTGACCTGCTTAAAATGTCCAATGGCTGTGCAGACATGTACATCCCTAGCTTTTACTCGCTCTTTGAAAAGGCCACGGCGATTGGTTATGCATTTTTTACACTATTTTCTTTCCGGGGAAACTCAAAAACTAGCCAGAGGTTTCAATCAGTTCCTCTGTGCATTAGACGAGCCTTTATATTCCTCTGAAAGATATTTCTGAGGCATTTTATTCATAGGAAGATTTTCATTCTAATAACTGTGCATTTTCAAAACTAAAAGCAATCCACTAAAATGTTATGAAGTCAACCCTGGTGCCATCAGATTTTAAACCGAATGTTGCACTTGTACCTGATTGGTCCATTTAAACCTGCGGCGCTGTTCCTTGAAGTTAGCCTTGCCTACTGTAAACTGATTAGAAAGGAGTAATAAAAGAGACAAATTAAACAGGATGCATTTTAAATGACCAAAGTGGATTTGTCAGATCCAAACACTCATATTAACTAGCTTAAAGACTGCTTTCATAGATTCCTGTGTGCAAATCTTGATCTTATTAAAGACCAAATCCTCCTGAGTATATTGACTAAGATCTCTAATGTTTAACAGCTAAATTCCCATAAAGGACTATTAAACAACAGTATTACTTTAGGAACATGCTGATTAATAATGTAAAAGATGCTACCCAGAGCAGTTTGAAGAGTCCACATCGATTTTCTATGTAATTGTGGTGGTATTTACTCAACAATGAACTAGACAGAATGTAAACTTTGATAGATTATCTCTCGAGTTGCTTTCCCTTACGAGGGATACGGATCTAAAATAGTTTAATTTCAAAAACTGCTTAGCATCGATCAATTATTAATCAGCTAAAACGTGCAGAGATTCTGGTCGGTTTATTTAATGACGCTAGTCAACCTTGCTGGGTAATTGTTAACCGAGACATAAAGAGTGTTTATACTTGCTGTGTGCTTGGACAGAGTGGCCTTGGAGAGCAGCCAAAGTGGTTCTGGCTTCATCAGACTGAACCCTACGCTCCATCAGCCCCTCTGTTCAATACACAATTCTCACAGGTTGTCAATAATTGACTGCTGTTTGGTGATATCTGCTGTTTAGAGGCACACTGGACTGTAAATCATCCATCAGCAGGCAAAATTATAATTTTACTTTCAGACTCTCTTTAACCATATTCTTCCTGTTTTTAGTGTCATATTAGATAATCTTTAACAGACAGGAAACCAGATGTTTTTTATGTGTTATACTGTCAAAAATGTGAAAAATGTCATAGTAATGTTTAAGACTGATTCAGTTGAACCCCTTAAATGTTTTTGACATGCATGCTAAACAGCAACAGCTTGTTTAAAAATTGATTTTGAGCAACTAATATATGAAGAGTTTCCGTTTTCCTAGTGCAAAAAATACGATTGACCTTTGTATCATTTTATCATTCGTATCATTCAGTTTTAGCTGCTGTGTAAAATATAAATAAAAGGAGAAATAAAAAAGCAAACCAGACTGAATGTTGTGTAGTATAAATATATGACGGTATGTTCATTTGATCAACATGTAGTTTAGTTTTTTATGGATAGGTCAGCTTAGTTTAACATAGACACAAAGCTGAAAGACTGCCACTGTCTAATATTTTTCATAAATATATTTGCCATGACTTAATACAAGATACACTAACATAGCCAAGGCCCACGCTCACTCAGTACACATAAATATAAAATCTGAAAAATTGTGCTCCAGAAATTAATATATCACATAAACACCCTCACAAAAGCACTTTCTTAATTTATTAGCATTTGTTTTTGTTAAATGACAAGAAACAAGTGCTAGAATTCTCAAACACAAAGGTGTTGATGAAGCTAAGATTTTGCTAACCTTGATCTAGGCCTGCCTTCCCATTTTCAGTTGCCTTGGAAATCTAATGTTGTAATTATATGTTGTAGATAATGCTGTAGTTTAATCTTACACTTTGATTAAAGACCAATAAAAACATTCCTCTTGCTGTTGGAATTATAAATTGTTTTTTGTGCCCTTGGCCCAAACTTGAATTTTATTGCCCATGTTACAGGGTTCAAATAATCCTATCCCATTGGTAGATTTATTTTTTTCTTCTTTTTAAGGACTTTTTAAAAGATTATTTTCCTGAGTGCAAGCTTGGCTCAGATTCACCAATGCTTTAAAGGAATAATTGGCCTTAAGATTTAAAAACCCTAATTACATTAGTGGAAGTTCCAGGTAAAGACTGGGAAATTGCTGAGCTAGCAGTACCTGAGATGTTTATGTAACCTGTCTGATTGTATTTCATCTGATGACAAACTACATTCCTTAATAGCAACCATGACATTGAATAAATACAATTAAAAATTATTAGACATGTTGACACAATCGCATCCTAACAAGCTCAACCTAAGTGATATTTTGCTGACTACTCCTACACCCTAATTGACTAATTACCTCCATTTAGTTTAGGTTTGGACATGTGAAACCGGATTGTGGCTGATGTCGGTCTGTCCTCCCTGCTCTCCTAATGGGCCCAGAGGAGCCAGGGCATTTCTCATAATGAGAGAAACATTAACATTCACTCATCTGCCCATTACATGCCAATGACCCGCTGCACGGCCGTTAGATGTTGTTCTGTGGGTGTGTGCACTCAGCTTTGATAGTCTATTATGTTTCTACACAGCAGAAACTTCCACCCCCTCAGAAAACCAGGGCTTTGTACTGTTGCATGGCTAATGGTTGTAACTCTTTGTAAGTCAAACAAGCCAAATGATCAATAAAATGCAACTGAGCTTGTTTTAAGAATGTAGAATGTTCAGGTTCAGAGTCATGACTGACTGCAAATTGACTCAAAATTAGTCAAATGAAATTCAGTTTTCTATGGTCTAGTGTTGTAACTGTAATTGGGCTTTCTTTCAGATTCAATGTCCCTAAAAAAGTTATTTCTTTGTATGCTTTGGTAATAATATAACTTTTTTTTTTTCTTTTTTTGCATTTTTAGGTTCGAGCCAATGACGCAGACACTGGTGCCAATGCAGAGATAGATTACATCCTACATCAAGCAACCGAGAATGTACAGAGGCTTCTGCGCATTGACCACTCCACTGGCATCATTTACGTCAAAGCCCTGGTAGACAGAGAAGAAACTAATTTTCTCAAGTTCTTTGTGGTTGCCAGAGACCGCGGGCCTAATTCCAAGAGTTCCAAAGTCCTAGTGACCATCATTGTCAAGGACCAAAATGACAACGCACCAGCGATAGAGATTCGTGGTATTGGGTTGGTCATTCACCAGGACAGTGTGGCAAACATCTCTGAGGACATGCCGATAGGTACCCCAGTAGCACTAGTCCAAGTGTCTGACCGTGACGAGGGAGAAAACGCTGTGGTGACATGTGTGGTTGCAGGTGACGTCCCATTTCAACTCCGACCTGCTAGCGAGTCAGCCAATGATCGAAAGAGAAAATACTTCCTGCAGACAACTACTCTGCTGGACTATGAGCGAATTAAAGATTACCGAATTGAAATAGTTGCTGTGGATTCTGGTAACCCAGCTCTGTCAAGCACCAATTCTCTTAAGGTCCAGGTCACAGACGTGAATGACAACACGCCATCATTTTCTCCATCTTTGCTTGAAGTATTCTTTCCTGAGGGCAACCAGCCAAATGACAGAGTGCTAGATATTTTGGCCACAGATGCAGATAGTGGTATAAATGCAGAAATGATTTATAGCATCATTGAGCCCTCAGCTAACAGGCTTTTTGAGGTCGATCCCAACACGGGAGAGGTTCGTGTGAAATACACATTGGATCGAGAGGACGTCGAGCGCTATGAGTTCCATATCGCTGCAGCCGACAAGGGCCTTCCGAGTAAAACTGGAACTGCTACGGTGGTTATAAATGTTCTAGACCGCAATGACAATGAACCCAAATTCATGTTAAACGGATACAGTTTTTCTGTAATTGAAAACATGCTCCCACTAAATCCGGTTGGTGTTGTGACTGTGACTGATGCTGATAAGGGGGAGAACTCAAGAGTGACACTGTTTGTAGATCCAGATAATGCCAACTTTGTGATTCAAAATGGCACAGGAACGATCCTGTCAAGCATTTCTTTTGACCGTGAAAAGGAAAGCACCTACACCTTCCGTCTGAAGGCTGTGGATGGTGGTGAACCACCTCGATCTTCCTACGTTGGTGTGACCATCAACGTCCTGGATGAGAATGATAATGCCCCCTATGTCACCAGACCATCCAACTCCTCCTACACTTACCTGACACCTGTCACACCTCCAGAAACAAGAGTGGAAGTGGTTGAGGCTGAGGACATTGATGCTGGGCTCAATGCAGAGCTGTTTTATTCAATCACCGGAGGAAACCCTTATGGCCTTTTTCAAATCTCGTCCACCAGTGGGGAAATCACACTGGCACAAGCATTCTCTGGCAAGCACAATGGGCTTCACCGGCTTGTCGTGAGGGTCAGTGATCGAGGCAAACCTGCTCGCCACACCACAGCCTTAGTTCACGTGTTTGTAAATGAAACCAAATCCAATGTGTCCCTCATTGAGGCACTTGTGGGTCACAGTCTTTACACACCTCTGGACAGAGACATAGCAGGAGACCCTAACTACGCCTACAGTCAGCAAACCAACATTTTATATGCTGTCCTTGCAGGTGTTGCTGTCGTTATTTTGGTCATTGTAGCTGTAGTGGTCATCAGACACCATCTGCAGAAAGATACTAAAAGCGGTTACCAAGCTGGTAAAAAGGAGAGCAAAGATCTTTATGCTCCCAAGCAGGGACCCAAAAATGGCAAAGGAAAAAAGAGCAAAAAGCCCAGAGCTCCAAAACCCACCAAACCACTGGAAGAGGATGAGGAGGCGAGTCTGCAGAAAGGTCTGAAGTTCAACCTTATTAATGACGTTAATGACAGTCCCAGAATCCATCTGCCCCTTAACTATCCACCAGGAAGCCCCGACCTGGGCCGTCACTATAGGTCCAACTCTCCTTTGCCATCTATCCAGCTGCAACCACAGTCACCTTCTGCCTCCAAGAAACACCAGGCTGTTCAGGACCTCCCTGCAACCAACACCTTCGTAGGGACGGGCGACAACAACTCCACGGGCTCGGATCAATATTCGGATTACAGCTACAAGGCCAACCCGCCCAAATACAACAACAAACAGGTAGGCGACTACGCAAATATGACTATGTACCCCAGGGAGAACATCTATTGGACCAACCGTGTGTGGTAGACACGCTGGAACTTACATGGCATTGCTGCCAGTGTTTTTCCACCAAAGCCGCACTGATTCCCTTGCACAGCACCCCCCTTTCAGATGGCTTTTATTCATTTTATTTTGAGTTTCATTCTGTTCAAAATGTCCGTTCTGTTCAGTTTTCGCTTTTCACTTCAGTATGGACAGTACAAAATATGAAGCATAACATAAATAAGGTCTTCCTGATCTGGTGACAAAACCTCCCTAAAATGGACTTTAAAGAGGGTTCATAAGTTTTCCTTTTTGTTTTTGACACAAATGTTTAATTCCTGAATATCTGAAGTATGCATCTGTTAGTACCAGGCCCTGTCCACACTAATCCAGATATTTAGCAAAAAAGCTAGAGGTGACAAACCAGAGATTTCTGAAGTTTTTTAAAAGCTCCATTTGTGGTGTAAATGTGTAAACAAAAACATGAACAAACATAGCTTGTACATGTCCACAGCAGTGAAGCATTTTTTCCCCTTAAGTTCCTCTTTGTGCTAAGTCGGTTTTGATTAAATGTCAAAAGTAAGATAAACAAGTCAATAACTATTTGACACAGAAAACTTGATTTTTTTCTAGCCATACACTGCTTTAGCCTACAGAGTCTTCTTCTTTTGAATGTAAATAAATCTAGTTAATGTAATAATTGTCACCTCGTGGCAGAGGCTAGATATTACTTTATTTTTGGCTGCAATCCTGCAAACCATTTTAGAAATGAGGAGGGAAACATATCGGTTTAAGAAATATCTGGAGTAGTGTAGCTGGGGCCTGATTTCTTAATTTATAATCCAAGAATAAATCAAACGTATTTGTTCAACTTTGGATATTGGAAATCTGATGTAGGTCCATCCTGGGGTCCTTTGTGTTTTTAATTTATGTTATTTTGTGTTTAGCTTCTTGTATTTGCAAAGGTTTAAATGAAGGTTAGTTCTTTTTCTTGTTCTGTGTAAATTGAATTTGAAGTTCTTCCTTTGAGCTTCATTCACGCTGACAACCTTATTAAGTCTGATTTTATTTTATGTTTTTTTTTTTTATTATTTAGTTGTTTTTTTTTATTTCAGACGAGCCAGTTTAAGTTTAAACTCTCTTAAGTTTATAGCTGTTCCTTATGGCTGGATCAGTTTGTTGAAGTGTGACAAAGAGTGACTGTGAATTTTTGGATTCTTTTTTTATTTTTTTTCTAATTGATTCTTGGCTTTCTCTGGCCAGGAACTCTGCAGGCAAATTTAAGGTAATTTTAGCTCAGTCAGGGAGCCAGACAGTGAAAACAGAATAGAAAGTGGTGCAAGAAAGATGAGGATGGGGATGTAGAGTTGCGTAAGGCCAAGAGAAGTATGAAGGAAAAGGTACATGAAGACTAAATGCAGCCATTTCTTAACCTCCACACTTCCTGTCAAGTTGGTTGAAATACGACTTTTAATTTTGCCATGTTTCCAATCAGTGGGGCTAAAAAGTCAATTGTTTGCACAGATTAATGGCAGGTAATTTTCCAGGCGCTCACTTGCGCCTTTTCTTTACCCAGAGTGCCTTGCTCTTTTCTATTTAATGTAATAGAAAAAAAAAAAAAACTGAGGGGTGAGATGGTGGCCATTAGCAGCGTGGCTGTGACGAACTGCTGTCACGTGACTTCACTTTGATGATGGACTTGGCTGCTGTGAAAACTGAAACTGTCACATGCACTGTTGAAAACCCTCGGAGACAATCAAATTAAGTTGTCATAGACATGTTCAGACTGTACATACATGTGAAAGATGTGTCAAATGTTTTAGGGTTGTTGTTGTTTTTTTTTGTTTTGTTTTGTTTTAGTTTTGTTTTGTTTGTATGTGCTCGTTCATCTGCTGTTTGTTTTTTGTTGCAACATGACTGTGTGATGTGTGTGAGCCTAACCAGGGCGTGTCATTCGTCCTCCCTGCTTCTTAAAGACTTCTGTTCACCGTGTGAAGACCCAAACCAAAGACTCACATGTAGACACACGCGCGCACACATTTTCATTATCATCACCATTTCACAGTCAAGTACAGCATATATGGACCTGAGGCCACGGATCTGCTTCCTGTTTGGTCAGTCTTGGCAGTTTTACACATTTGTACAGTGTTTATTTGATGTTTTTTACAGCTAAAAGAAGATTTTATTTCAATAAACATGTTGCTAAAACATTACTGTGGCGCTCTCTGTGCATTCACTGGGTTCTCGAGGTGGGCTGGACGAAACAGGGAACAGATTGCTGGAAAAGGTACAGTATTCCATTGTCACCTCCATCCTTCACACATGGAGAGAAAAGATATTCAGTGGAAATATGTTTATTGTGGAATTCACTTGTAGAAGTTTCCAAATCCTAAAATGTATGGAAAATAAATTAAGGCACAAAACAATATTTGTTTTTTGTAGAACATTCTCTTAATTCCATAATTTAGAATATATAACTCTAAAATAATGAAGCAATTTTTTTTCTTGATTCACCAGTCAAATTTTTTAAAATATTTTTCTCTGTTAATTAAATACAATAAAAAAAAAAAGTAGGAATCTCTGCCATTTTCAATTCGCAGCATCTACCTGAATGTACATTTTCAGAAAAAGTCTGATAAAGGCTGGAATAGATGAAACATACTTTGATGCATGGTTATCATTTTCTCCCTCGTTCATTCCATCTTGGTCTCAAAACTACTACCGCCAAATAAAACTTGTTTTCCCCCTTGAGTTCTTAGGAAAGCACAAGAAACTGTAAGTCTGACTTCAGAGATAAAATATAATTTTGTATTGGACAGAAAAAACAGTACTTGTAACAATTTTGCAAAAAAAATAAATAAAACTGGAATAAATTTCAAAATGTTTTAATACAATTTTTAAAGTAAATCGAAAATCTTGGTCTCAACATTAGGAAATGGTCATTGTAAAACTTTGTCATGAAAGTACGTTGACCATGTTTGTAGTTTTCTATAATGTCTGGAGAATAATTATGTTAAGATATTTAGACTAAATTAGCTCATTTCAACATCTAAACTTATCCAGATAAGACTTAAAAAAATCTTAATGAGGCATGATCATTATGTAAAAATTATGACATAATTGAATATTTATGGCAAAAACAGTATAAATAAAGATGGTTGACATAGTATCATGAACTACTCATTCTAAGGAAAAAAAATATAAATATGTATACCTTTTACTGTGCTGGGAAAAAAAAGGGATGTCATCTTTTTTTAACAATGAAGTCTTAAAAATGCAGGATGTGACTTATGAAAAAAAAGTTTTGCATAGTTAGAACTGTCAGAAAATGAGGCAGATAATCTGTAAAAGCAAACAAACAAAAAAAGTCAAGCTCCTGTGGTTCTACAGTCATCTCCAAAAATATGCTGCTTGGTCAGAAAACAAAAAACAATCAGCCCTAGGAGGTGGGGCTTAGTGCTATGAATCACTCACGTGCATGTGCTGCTCACGCCTCCCCCTTGTTTGCTGCTAAGCCACAGCTAGTTCACCGAAATGAAGCATGTAATGAATGCTCATATTTAGCATGGCCTCCGAAGACAGCAGATAAGCCGTTGTCCTGTAACGGTAAGTTGTCTCGCCGCCATTGAGCACATTTAGCAGCACGAGCTGAATTGACAGAAATGGCATTAGGAGACACTCTGTTTCCCTAAGACATTCTCATGAAGAGGATGGTCAGGGTTGTCCATAATTTTCTTGATTTTATCAATAATTCTTTGCATCATCATCTGCAGATAATTAGCTGTCTCATACGTTCACAACATATAGTGACAGTTTTAACAAATATGTAAAAAAAGTGATTTTGTAAAAGTTAGGCTACATACTGCAGCTTTAATTATTCTAGTTTCTGAGTTAGTGACTGAAAGCCCGTCGCCTACGGACGTACAGATTGGTACATTCTAATGTGTGTCATGGGTGACTGTGTCTGGATCATTTGTAATGGTTTAGGGAAGAGTTTTTAAGGAGATGTTATGCTTGGAGGATAATTTTGCTAAACCCTAAAATATTGTCAAGAGATTTTTGGGCAAAAATACTTTAAACTTTTTGTTTTACATCTAAAAATCTGGAATGATATTTAAGTCCGGATGGCAAAGGATTATATTTTGAAAATAAAAAAAAAGACTAGAACCAGAATTTAAACGTTTTAGAAAGAAAAAAATCGAGTGTGGACAACATTTGTATTTCAAGACTGTTCTTTTTTTTTTTTTTTACTTCAATATGAATCTGAATCCTTTTTTTCTGATTGCTTAAAAAAGTGCTTTTTATACTGAATATATTATCAGCAGGGATGGACATAATCACTATTATAGAACATTTTGCACAGCCAATGCCAACAATCAATTCCATTATTTACTTTCTTGCACTCAGACATCAGTGCGTCAAGCTGGGAATAACTTAAAACCAGATTTGAGCATGTTCCAGTAAGTTAAAGAAAAACACAGTTGGCAGTATACTTTGGTATATGAACTAAGTTAACACATCCGTCTTCAAGAATATTTACCACCCATAAGTCAGGCTTCCAGACTAGCCATATTGGTTCTGTATAATCCGAAACAACAGACACATTGTGTCAGCCAAGCTACCTTTTATAGAACCCAGTTTAAACATTGTAGGTCCAGTCTCAAACCCTGTGATAACGTGATCTAGTTGTTAGAAATTGAGCTGAAGTGTCCTTTTTCTAATTCTGAAGGACTACTTTTATTTGCGTTTCCTGTTAACGATAGACAGATCTTCATGTGGGTTACCAAATAATTGAATTAAACCAGAGAGATGGAAAATGGAACCGGGAAGGAATATACAAACTTTAGGACCTGGAATCAGCTAAAGACAATTTCAATTAGTTCACACATCAGAAAAAATAAAGAAGGGTGAATACAGAGACACCTGTGATTAGAAAACAGTAAAACAGCAAGGAAGTTCTGCCGACGCTCTGATGA